TGCTACCAGTCACTTGGTTGGTTGTCAGAGTTGACAGCAGCTATGTGACAAGGGTAGCGTGTAGTATCCTGTTTCCTTCCCAGAGAGAGGTACGGATTTATCAACCACAGGAAGAAACGCGAACGATCCGGCAAGGAATCGAACTCTGAGCTTTTTGGTTGTGAGTCAGAGACTCTACCAAATGAGCAATCCCGGTATGACTACACAAAAACAACGTGCTGTTTCTATTATTCGCAGGCGACCCACTTGCTTTTCATCTCTCGGTTGGCCGTACCGAAGTACATGGAGGTAAATTCACTGCTCAATAGAACTGACAGCAAACAAAAGTCTTCACAGAGTTGGAATTCAAATGAAGCACTTAAAAGTGCCAAATAGTTTGACTTTGTTTCACTGCACTTATGCGTGCGATTATTCACATATGTCAACCATACTATACTCATCTGCGAACCTTTCGAGAACACTCTGGAGTTCAGCTTCGAATATATAAGATAAGATCACCTGTCCTCGTTGCTATTTTCATCAACGCCCTTAGTTGCGTTGCAAAACCATCGGCAGCTGAAGATCTGTCACGCTGGCCCACGAAAACGTCACCTGCAAATAGAAAACTTATCGTCTCCACATCTCTTCCTACGATATACTTACACTCCTTTGATCTTAAACAAATGATCATAAAATTGTCTTTGAAAAAGGAAGAAAGAAAGGTTGGTAGCCGTTGGGATGTCGATATTTCACACGTAAATTATGTACGCCATTTATGATACCATTCTTTTAATGAAATTTATCTCGTGGCACTGGCCTCGCCTTAATGACATCAGCCAAAAGCGCCTTAATTTGAAATGCGATATGAACAGCCAGGTAGCCACATAATGCGCAGTTTCGTGCTTTCATTCTGCAAAGTGATTCACCTATCTGCCTCGGAAAGAACAAGGAAAAATGCTCAATCCGGCGTTGATAAGAATCCGCTAACTTTCGGCTATAAGTCCAGCTCTGTTCTGAGGACTAAGCTATTCCAAAGTTATCCGATGTAACAGCAGCTGGTCAGCGTGAAACGCCAGCTACCGTTGGTATCGGAAATCCGATGATCAGAACGGTTGTGGCGTACGAAGCGAAGCAGGCACGCTCTGAACAACCATAGACAGAGTAAATCCGAGGTTCTTTTGAACTCAGGTTTCTACAACTGCGTCAATGGCTGCGCTGTGATTCGAATTTTCTGGCAATCGTTTTGCTTTGGAGTATACAACATTAACCCAGCGAAATTAAACAGTGACCTGAATGAGTCAACAGCGTGCTTGGATACTTCACTTCCGAAACTCATAACCTGGCCGAAAACAGTACTGAATAAGATAATAAATGGTATAACGAATGAAAATAAATTACCTACTAAACATCGAGCATTCAGAACTGTAGGAACAGTGTTTCTTTGCTTGACAGCAATAAACTGTCGTTACGCTAACAGAAAACCACTGACCTAAGATTTCGAATGTTCTGTAATCCAACAAATATACTCGCTTCATTTTTAAAAAAATTTTATCTAATTCTCTGTCACGTTGCTTGAATGAAAACTTTCAACAAACTTTCAAAGTCATCGTGCGATGCATTGTCAGCAGCCTTGGTTTTGTCACGCAACGGGGTACTGGACATCCGGCCGTTTTCATCGTATTCTCCTCATTCAACTGCAAGTAGTCACCTTGAAAGACAATAACAGACAGTGTCACAACAATGCACAGAATGCACTGCATTTCGCGATGAGCAAACAGAAAGTCGGCTTTGGAGTCAGAGTCTGTCTGTCGTTCACCGCTTCAGCCATCCGACTGCGAAACGACGGCGAAGACCGACTGGAAAGCGGTAGAGAGCAGTGAGCAATGAACGTCTATTCGTTCATCAATCATCAGCGATTAAAGACAATCACTATTAATAGAAGTCCGCACATTCGTTAAACGGAAGGACGTCGTCGGCTGCCACGTGGCCTCCGTTCACTCGTGCTATTCACTTTTGGTCACGCGGTCTTCCGCCTCTCAGTGAACTTCGAATGGAACGACTCCTGACCAAGACACAAGTGGCTACGACAAACCGGCTCTAAATATACACCGTGAGGCGACGTTTGGCGGCGACCGCTACGATATATAGACTTCAGACGTCACTCTCGAAAAGCGCCAGAGTAGTGGCCTCGGCTGTGGCCGTCCGTACGACAGAAGTACAACGAGAAAGGATAAATGATACAGACGTGATCTGAAAGAAAGCATCGATCGCTGTTCGGACGGCTTCGCACAATGCATCGATTTTATGTTCGCATCGCTTGAACTTCGTTCAGTTCCAACGTGGCATATCTGACTGCGATCACAGCAGCACCTTCGCTCAGTCGCACATAATGGCCGTCTTACTTCCATTCTGTTACCTTGATACGGCCATACCAGCGAATTTTCACTTCAGT